TCTCGTCGCAGTGGCACACTCGTCAATTATACTTGTTGCTGACTTTGACGCACAGCTCAAATAAACACGAAATGGATTAACTTCGCATGACGTGGTACGTACTACACTTTATTTTTCGAGTATGTCCTTTTTATTCCGAGGTGACGGTGGAACAAACGTCAACACGAATTGTGCTAGAAATTGAATTGGTAGTGCGCTAGTTAGGCAATACGGGAATAATCTTTCCTTTGCCAAACGTTACGTCAGTATCGAGCCTGAAAAGTGACTGCGGAAGGTGATGCCTTAGTGATGCCGCGCGTGCGTCATATTTCCACACTCGATTAGCTTTGACATGTCAAGGCAGCCCCCCCCCCCGCCCCCTCCCCCCCCCCTCCCCCCCCAAAAGAAAAAAAGAAAAAAAGGTAACAACAACCGGCTATGGGAATGCCAAGTTTGAAGCAAGCGTGCAGATATACACTTTGAACACTAGAAAAAAACTTACCTTTGTACCCATACATGATCATCAGAGCAAATAAAGCGAATGTTACTTATCGCAATTCACACTCATTACTTGGCTTTACTTTATTTTGACCATCTACATACACAGGTAGGGACTGATCCAGTGTTAGTGCGTAGCTCTTGACGTCTCTCTTGATCTTCTAGATGCCCTTCATTGCTTTGGCACGTATACCCCCTGCAGAAAAGCGCCGATGCCGTGTTCGCGCTAGCAGTGTCAGACAGTGTACATTAACACATGTACGAAGCTATTTTCGCACCGTTTTTAATGCACTGATTTTGAAAGAAAAACGCCGTAACCTACCAATATTTCTGTCTACGTGATGAAGATATGTGCCAAGCTATCTAGTACATATACTCTAAGAAATTCCTGCTCGTGTACTTACCCGCAAAACACTCGAAGAGTCAATGTCGGCGATCTACGAAATCAGCTCAGCGAACAATGAGGCGGAACATCCGTTTAGACCTAAAAATTAAGTCTGCGCCGTGGAATTACGCAATGCAAAGCGTCATGCTTGCATTGCGTAATGCCACAGCGCATACTTAATTTTGAGGTCTAAACACATTTTCCTCCTCATCATTCGACGAGCTGATTTCGTGGATCGCAGTGATTGACTCTTCGAGTGTTTTGCGGATAAGTAGACGCGCAGGCATTTCTTAGATTGTACGAATTATTCGTGATATTTTATCTTTAAATCAAGCGCAGAGAAAAAATACACTCACTTTTTCTCATATAAATGCATTACAGGAAGTTAATTTCAGACTGGTTGCCGTCTGCTTTAATTTGAAACCGCACACTAGCGCCAGTTGGACCTCTAGGGTACATTATAACACTCCATTTTTTTCCATCTGGTTCTGGAGTGAAGGTTTGGCTCCTTGACATTCGAAAACCTAGCCAAGTCCAGCGTTACTCTGTATGTGTTTTCACGTCATTCGACCAGCAGGAGTTGCTCGGAGCTCGGGTTCAGTCGTTTGTCCCTCAGTGGTGAGAGGCAACGGCGGCAACACACCGCCATGTTTTTCGTTTACCTGCGCTGGAGGATGCCCTTACGAAGCGTCTGTGTGTTCGACGATCCGGAAATCACTACGGGGCGACATTTATCATTGTCAGTAATGAATAAAATCTACACGAGAAGTATTTCTTGTTCCTCTTATTATTGGATTGCTCTTAACTCGCTGGAGGATAGTGTACTACTGGGTATGAGATAATGCCGGTACTTTTCGCAGGCGCATGGAGGAGATCTCTTTTTTCAATTTGCGGCTTTTCTGTAACATAATTTCGCGCCGGCTGTGGCCCGGAACGTTTTGTGTAACGCTGTACTCAGCTAAGCTGACATTGATTAGAAACTAAGGTTCGCTGTGAGGAGCTGCACCGTAGCGCCACTGTCTTGCTGCACGCTTCCAGTAACGTAGCGCTCGCTTCCAACGTGGACCCCTCGCTAGCCTCCTGTACGTGACGTCGAAAATCCAGCACTACGGCATCGCAATGTTGGAGGTGTTGCTTTATGACGGAATCAACTGAAAGAGAGAGAGAGGGACCTTCAGCTTCTGAAAACAAGCCAAGAGACAGTATCGATTGACGTAGAAGGCAATAAACGACAAGGTGCTCAATGGTTGACAACATGTCGGATGGTCGTCGCTTGAAAACACCACAGAGGAAGAGTGTTTGTGGTGACGACGACGCTTGTTCGAAATATGTACAAGCTGCAAATGTAGTCGTGGGTTATTATATCCAACCGTTTAATAAACGTTAGACAATACAGCGAATAACATTTCAAGGCCTTACAATGTAAAAAAAAAAGAAGAAAGTTCGAATGACAATGCTCGACGCAAGACACAAAGGAAACGACACAAAATTTAGCCAAGAAGAAACATCGCATGCGAGCGAGTGATGTAAAGATGCACTTTGAGGACACCACTTTGAAATGATGCGTACAACTGCCCGTAAATGCGCGACATCAAATTCACTATTAACAACAAACTCGTTACGCACTACAACGCGAAGCGTGTTATTAACGCTGTGCCAAGAAAACAATCTAAAAGCTGTAAGAATAAAGAAGCCTTCCCTGGACAGTCAACATTGAAATGCTCAATCGTTTACTTTCTCCCGGAGCTTATGAGGAACCAGTCAACTCCTCACAGCGGCGAAGACCAGATTCACTTTCCCCAGTGAGAATACAGTTTGTTGAGAAGGGCAGGAAACTTTTTGACAGAACATTTCGACAAGGAGGTATCGGTCATAACAGTACCCGTAAACCATTTTTTTGAACACGCAGAAAAAAAAACGAAAAAAAAAAAAAAAAGGAAACGGATATATTGATTTGGCAAAGTATGGCGACCCAAATCTGGCTTGAACTTACCGATAGAAGGCATATACGAGTTTGTTTGCAAACAAAAAAGGAATTTGGTAGAGTATGCGGTTTCGGTCAGGTTAAAAAGTAATAAAAGTCGACTGCCTTTCCGCGACAAGATATCTGAAGCGCCGCATAAAATAAAACGAAGCACCGCTGTGCCGGCGGCGTTTATCTTGAAGCAATGAAGAGTAGAAATCAAAAAGAGACAAAAAATAAAAATAAAGAGACAGCAAGAACCTAATAAACGCCCACTGTCATTCCATTCTCCAAAAGCTGTTCTACGGAACGGGCATTCTTTACTTCAGTTCGCTATCCGAGGAATTTAAAATTCTCGTAAGACGTCGTTTCGATACATCGGAGGCTTGAAAGGCCAAACTAGGGCTTGCGGATCCCCGACATGGACCAAATTGGAAGGACAGCAATCGACGCTCCCAATGACTCAAAGAGAACTTTACCATCGTTGATTTGCAAAATCCGGCAGTTTTCTTTTTTTCCTAGTGCCCTTCGCAGAGAGCATGCACACCCAATGTTCAGGTTCTACACCGCCCATACAACATGGGCCTGTGCCATAGCTAAGTCTGAAGTTGAAGCCCGGCGAATGAGTGATCCGATAATGGTGAGAAGCTTCTCGCCGATCCTGATCGGCCAGGATGGTAGTGGAGAGAATGTTATGTCTAGGCACGCCGCCAAAACGTCATATGCCATGCACTGATTGGACACGATCACAGTGTCAGCATTTGATCGAACGTTGTTGTCTATAGTAAATGTGTCTGAGTCGTCGAGAGGGTTGACGTTTGAAGGAGGCTGCTCTAGAGTGGACGAGTCGGGTGCTGTTTAGGCGATGTTGCTATGCTGTTGGCTAGGTGAACTGAAGGTTATCGTTCCGACTTTCGAAAAGTCTCGAGGCAGATAAATTGTGACGCAAAAACGACTTTTCACGAAAATGACGCAGCGTTTATAACTATATAAATCCGAGTCATTTTTACGTTAGCGAATCTCGCTTCGCATTTGGCCTGCCTGGTGATGCCAGTCTTTGTCACCATAAAAGCAGACCTTAGTGTCAGAACCTATGACTTCACAATGACAGGCAAATTATGAAGCAATAATGAGCGAACCACAGCCTCTCGTACATAATGACGCCTGACAGATCAGTGATCCCAGTTTGCGAGTGAAGTGGGGAACGCAGACAAAACGCGCAATGAGGCAGTGACAAATTTCAAGAATGTTTTATCCGCTTCTTGACCTCTTTCCTAAGCTCTTACCTTCGAAGCAGGAGCGGATGAATGGTGCGAAACGCTTGCTTTTTGTGCCTTGTTAGATCGGACCGTCAAGCGGGGAACCAGCACCACCACAAAGCAGTAAGTAGTTCTGAAGTCCGCTTTGTCCACTTGTCCGCATCTTCCACTTCGCGCTGATATACCAGTTCAATCGCTTATCTGCAAGGCTCGGCGTTTCTTGCTACAAATGATGCGCTCTAGTAGTGCTCAGCCAACCCTGCCAGCTAGCTTTTTGTCATAGCCAGCTTATGGTGTTTAACATTAATCATCTTGTGTTCGGAGGTGCGTTGGCCACGTCGAGATTAATCGAAGCGAGCTGATAGCATATGTTACTTGAGGCGCCCTGAAATAACAAATTGCGAAGGGTAGCGTTAATGATAAATAGCAGCCGGTGATTCTAACCCAGTACTCGTGCGGTATCTTTGGTGATAAGTACTTTTCAGACTGTCTCATCAGAGAGTTCTGATCAAGTCGCCTCGAATAAAGAATCCCCGGTGTCACAGGTTTGAGTTAAAGCGGAATTGAACCTTTCACCTAATTTCCTTTTTCTCTCTCTCTCTCTCTCTCTACATATATATGAGAGTAAGAGTTTGTCTAAACAAATCAGGAAGACGGAAGAAGCTTATCGTAGGTGCTTGAAAAAAAATCTTCTTCAAAGCTTTTGAAACCTCCTCAAACCTTAAGAATCTTGGCGAAATGTCGGTGCCCAGCCTACGGTTCTCCGAGAGACTCTTCGCTCGATGCATTTGAGTGCGTGGTATACAGAGTGCCCTTCTTTGTTGTGACATTACGGGGTTACGACATTGTGAAGCGCAGTGGCTGCGAGTGGACGGCGCGGCGCATGTTAATCACGACGGCGTACAGCGACGGTGTTTCAAAGTTGGCGCATCAGGTGCTCGTTGGTGAAGAAGGTGCCCTGGAGGCCGATGTCCGGCGAGAACGGCGGGTCCTCCGCCTCCAGGAAGTAGGTCCGCATCATGCCTTTGCCCTGCGGAGAAGCAGCGTGCCCCGTCAAGTTCGGCTACGCGGAGAGGCGTGAAAAAGACGCATTCGGGGTTTTTCTGCCTCTTACACAATGCGTATTGAACAGGGCATGTATCGATATTAATAAAACACGGAAAAATTGGCCCTTGTTTTTAAAGAACGACGCACTTGTTTCAAATCACAAAGAATTCCAGACAAAAAAACAAAACAAACACGGACACGCACACACGCGCGCACGCTCACGCGCACGCACGCACGCGCACTGCATCATTCAAGATAAGCCAAATAAGCAAATGCTCGTGGACATACAATAATAATTGGGTTGTGTGTATGATTATACAGCCTAGAACTTGGTCAGCCCCAATAGGCGTCTGGTGTTTCAGCTGTAGATGAGAAATTTAGCCAGTGCAGTACAACAGCAAGCCTGGGGTTTTTAACGTGCATCACGCAGTAGTGATACACGACCGCACGCCGGTGTTGTCGTGGACATACACTTCTCTTTTTTAATGCGAAATTGCCTTTTTACTGAAGCTAGCTCTGATTTAGCCTCGAAAAAACGAAGTGAAGCGCCACAAAGTCGAAAAGAGTTAGCCGGCTGCAAACACCTGCGAGCTCCACCAGCCACACAATGCAAGTGTGAAGAAGGGGAAAAAAAGACCAGAATAAATGATGGGGAAACAGCTCAGAAAACGCGGACCACGAAGAAGAACAAACACGACGGGACAATGCTGTTGTCGTGTTTGCTCTTCTTCGTAGTCCGCGTTTTCTGAGCTGTTTCCCCGTCATGTAAAACGTCAACCTACTGGCCAAGTTCACCACCCCATTACAAAAAGAAAACAGAAGAGGCAGGGGAGAGGACTCTGAAACGCTTAAAAAAACTTCGCAAGCAAAACAGAAGAAAAAAATGTATAAAACAAAAACAAAAAGAAATGTGGCGACGCTGACGGTGTCGCCTGCTTGGAAGACTAAGACTGGAGTTAGCGTCCCCTGCGTTTCTTCTAAAACGCAGTTTTGCATATCAGGGTCTCATCGAGAGATCAAAATAAAACTGCTAGTTTTCATTGTTCAAACACTTAAAACAATTTGTGCGTGTGTGTGTGTGTGGGGGGGGGGGTGGGAGGGGGGAGTTCAAACGATTAAAAAAAACATTTGTTTGCATGTGTGTGTGTGTTACAACCAGTGTGTCGAACCGAAAAAAATACGGGTTCGGTTACGGTTCAGGTTCAGGTAAATTTATTTTGTTCCGGTTCAGTTCCGGTTCGATTAATTCGATCCGCGAACCGGTTCGCGAACCGGTTCGGGGCGCTGAACCGGTTCGCGAACCGGTTCGGAAATTATAAATGACAAATTGCAACATCAAAATAAGTTACAAATAAAACATCTGAAATCAGCACATACGAAACGGGATACATCGTAGTGTAAGGCTCAGGGATTTCTACCAGGAATGGTTTCTTTATGTCCACTCAAAGGTTACCTCACCGACGTTTACGCATTCGGACTTCATCTAATTGGGTCCGACGCAGTAGTTGTAAAATCCGCGACCTCGTTACAAACCCACTTACAAGTAGAACTCGCTAACTATCCCGCCACCTCGGCGTGTAAGCAATTGAAGGAACAGTGGGGAGAAAATACCGCTTTCTTTATTTAAACTAACCTTCGGTAACTCAAATTAGACCCTTAAAGAAGTTTTCATTAAACAAGATACGGAATATGAAAAACACTTCACCGAACGCAACGCCAGAAGGACGTAATAGGATAAATTTTAATATAGAAGAGTTCGCTGTCTCACAAATATGTTAGCTTCTAAGTGCCTCTACGAAACCGGATGCATTATTATCAAACTCCACAGCCTTTTCTTTTCTCATTCCGATGAAAGCAAGCTTCAAGAACTCGCGCGTTCTAGAAACTTGTTATGAAATGAGCACAAAGCAGCATTTAGAATTTACGAGATTGTAGAAAAATAAAATCCCATGACGCCTTTTAATTCTTTTTCTTCCGTGCAAGCCGCGACCTGCGCAATACTGGTTCCTATGTCAAGATTCATGGATCCAGCGTTTGTCAAGATTCATGGGGGCAGCGTTTATATTCCTAAGACTGAGTGGAGAAGAAAAATATGTAAGCGAGGTGTGTGTCAGTTGACGGCACTTAAAAAACAAATGGCATTGATAGAACATTCATTATCAACAGCGCGTGGCCGAACCGTTTTGACATGAGCCGGTAACCGTTATTTTTTTTCCGGTTCAGTTCCGGTTCGGGTTCATCGTGATAACAATATAACGGTTCGGGTTCGGGTTCAGTTCCGGAAAAAATACCGGTTCGGTTCCGGTTTTCGGTTCGGTTCGGTTCCGGTTCGACACCCTGGTTACAAGTGAAACGTTTTCAGCGAAAATGTAGAATGATCTCATCCAGTGTGCCATCTGAGGAGGTAAAATATGATTCTATCCAAAACCCACCCTGAGTAAGATGCGAAAAAGCAGCAATGCGGTGTTTGAGCTAACTGTGTTGAACAGTAAGCTAAGCTTTCCGAGTGCCACAACTACAAATAGCAGAAAGTTTTAGTAGCTTGTTCCGATAACTACACTGAAGATCTCAAAACAATACAATGCATGCTCCAAGGCGCTGGCGGAGTATTGGGTATCGTTAGCAGAGATATCGAAAGGATCTACTAAAACTTCCCATCAATCTGAAACGTAATTAGTCACGTTATTCACCATTTCTAGAGTAATTGTGTCTAAAGGGTGAAACACTTTGAAAAGTGACCGCAATACTCTTCGTCCATCGTCGCAAATTGCATAGAAGATGATTTCATTCTACACAGGAAAGGTTGCGGAGAAGGAATCTTTACAGGGCAGTATAATAGCCAGGTCTGTATATCCCCAGTAACTACGAGACGGTCCTGTTCGTCTCAATGAGTACTGGGATGCAAAAAAAGACTAGGTTTAACGTCAAGAGTATCAAGGCGGCAGCAATAACCAATTATCATCCAAACAACAAAATCGTTAACCGATTCGGCATGATATTAGGGAGTTTTAGTAGATCGTTTTCAAACTCTCGCTACCGCTACGGGCGCGCGTTTCGGAGCATGCTTCGAAGTGGCAGCGCGAGCTCCCGCTACAAACAGCGTGGCCCGAAAACACGGTCTACTAAAACTCTCCACTAACAACCTGTCAAAACATACTGCATTGAACAACAGACCGGCAGGCTACATAAATATAAGCGCGGCTCAAGGGATGTCTCTCGTCGAGGGAGGGCTCTGCTCCTCGGATATTTGCGCTTTCTTTTCTTTTCCTTTTTTTTTTTGATGGCTGTTGCGTGCCTATTGCTGTAGGCACTGGAATCCTAATGCTGATCGCCTGTCAAATGAGGCAGCTCCGATATTTCGCACTTTACCGGCCTTCTGAGAAAGCGAGTGGCGAGTGACGACAGTAGACTTATAGCTCTCAAGTTTCAAGCAGCGCCACTAAAGCGAAAAAAACAAAAAAAAAAAAACTCTTAGGTCGCGTTTTGGTTATGCGGCATTTAAGCGATATATATATATATATATATATATATATATATATATATATATATATATATATATATAAATCAGTATTCGAATAGGAGGCTAAAGCCGCGAGCGGTACACTTTCTTTGGTGATTTATTTTCTTTTTTGTTTGAAACGTTTGGTTAGCGCGTTAGAAGAGACGCAGACAGACCCTTGTATATGACTGTGACTTGTCCATAAATGGATGCTGCAGCACCGCATTTATGGCGGCGTCTTGCATACGCTAAAACACCGGTTTACAACAGCATCGGCCAAGGGGCGCTGTCGCGTGTTGCAGACGCGCTCGCGCACCCTGGCGGAGAAAAACGGACCTTTGGAAACGTGGTTACGGACTCACTCTGAGGCTATTAAAGCTGCAGATTTATAAGGCCGGCCAGTCGGTCAGTCCGTATAACCGCTAAACGATCTTAATAATTTGAAACGTTCTGTGTTAATCGACGTACCGTCACAGCGACAACTGCGACAATACACGGCAAAGTCGTTGGGTATCGGCGCTGCGTTCGGAGCAAAATAATGCGTCGAGAATGTGAGAGGCGCAATAATACGTTCCCGACAGAAAGGTTTCTCGCGGGTGAAGCACCAACAAAACTAGCGTTAGCCACAGAAAAAAAAATACGCACGCGCCAACGAAATAACTGAAATAAATTATCAGGATACCACGGCGCGTGAGCCGATTGAGCGTGCATTTCTTGAAATTTACGAATGTTTACTGAGCTACAAAGCCCCCTAAAAAGATGGGTTCACAGAAAATGTTTTGCCCCTTCTGTCAACGATAAGTACTGACATAAAAGAATGATTAGAATATAGCCGATAGGTAGGTTCGAGGTAAAAGAGCCATTGATAACGTGTAAAGCGGAAAATCACCAGAACACTGATGGTTTGAATGCTGCCTTTTTGTGAAAAAGTATAAAAATATATTTAGCTTGTACTTTCCTAAAAGTGTACCGCGAGTGTTATGAAAACAAAAGTTTTCCCGCCTTCGTTTTGTTTACCCACACAGTCCTTATCCCTGTAAGTGCGAACCCGATTAAACTCTTTAATGTGGCAAATTCCCGGCCGATAACACTAGCTACTAACCTAATACTGACTATAAGATTCTAATGAAAATTCTTGCGGGAAGAATGCAATCGGTGATTGGAGATGTGGTAGGAGGGGGGGGAGGATCGGGTAGGGGGGGGGGGGGGGGGTCAAACGTGCGGTATCAATGGACGCACGATTATGAGTGACATTCATGTTGCGCGTAACGTGTTGAAAGTATGTGATGCTGATCTCCGTAAAGTTGCTCTGTTGCAAGTCGATCTTAAAAAAGCTTTTTATCGAGTGTTCCATGATGTTCTTCTTTGCCTTCTAAACCATGTTAGCGTGGGTAAAATTATTTTTGATGGAGTAAAAATGGGCGTATAGTAACTGCACTACTAGTCTTGTAATTAACAAACAAGTAACTAAGCGCATTTCTCTG